TTCTTCAACAGCGCGAAATCCCCATATATGAACATTTGGTTTTCGCGCATGGTCGCGAAAATAGCAAAAAAGGATTTTTCTGTAGGTGTTTTTCGCGCACCACCTTTCTTCTACAAGGACCGGATGAAATAAGTGTTTGTTTAGTTTATTTTGAAGTCACGTTCTCCTTAAACATTATCCTATGAGGGCACTACTCTATCCCTTATAGAAAAGTACATGCCAGGTTTCAAAGCGATCTCAATTTTCCTGCGAAACGGGTCGTATCTTAAGGAACGGAGGTAGCCTATCGCGCAAACAGCCCTGCCCATGACAGGCGTGAGCGTAAGCAGGTGGAAGTTTCACGTGCGCGTACTTGGAATCTCCTGTGTCCTCGTTGGATATAGCTTTGTCGACAACTATAGGCCTCTCGTTGGGGGACGTGCGAGAAATGAGCATTCCGCGAAATCCCCCTCATCGCGCGAAAACCACCCATTTTACCATAGTACTTTACTGTCAAGCGCCGGAGTTATATTTGGTCTGCAGATTTGACCATATTAATTTATTTTCTGATGGAAGAGTTTGCTGTAAATGCTCACAGGCACCGCATGTTATTTACGAGGTAAATCATGTAGTCAAACGTTTTGTTGATTGCGAGCATGACGAAAGTGTATGCTTTGATGTACCATTGTTAAGTATGTATAATTTTGTCCTGAGGTTTGTGACGTTTGCGATTTGTCTCATGTGATGTGAGGACCAAATATTCTTCCGGATTGCAGGACATTGGGTTTAATAGTTACGAATAGTACTTATATGGGTTCACAGTAAATTAACGCCGTAGGGACGATTGTGAGCCAAATACTTATGCGTTTTCTTTCTTAGCAGAACAAGTCAAAAAGGAGAGAACGTCATCATCAATGAGCAATGAATAATTCAGTGTCTATTGCAAAGCTTTGTAATACAAATATCTACCTTGATGATGTTCTTATAAGCGCTTCTAATTATTGCTGAGTTCTCTGCAGCCCTGTGCAGCTCCATACACGTCTGTATTTGTAAGAAGACAGGACATGGTCAAATCTCTATATCTCACTTCCTGAAACCAATAATATTTGGTACGTCTGGAGAATAGCGTTTTAACGAGAGAAATCAATAACACTGACGGAACTGAATTCGAACGATCGTATTAAAACACCTCAGCTCCTCTTGGCAGTTTTATTTTAATTTCCTTGAGATTAGTTTGAGAATATTCTTTAAAAAAGGAAGATCCGGACAGCTTGCAACATCAAGTATATCACAAGGAATTCCTTCAATTTTGGCGTTGTGAAGCGCCAGGATTCTTTTTTCCACTTCAACGACTCCCATGTAAACAGCAGAAAAGCAGGTAGCCTTCCTTTTCTTCCCATCGTGTAGATCCTTCCGTTGAGTAATTTCTTTGATTGATTCTTCGAAATATGTTACGCCCATGCATTAGCTTGCGTTGGCGGGAACAAATGTCCTTCGGAAGTCGTGAGACGCGATGACAATCGGAACCTGGCCCCCATATCCTCTTCTGACGCTAATTTTCTTTTGAGGGTGGCTTTGATGTCTTCTGAGAATGTCCTCGAAGCAACAGGGCTGGGCTCCACATTTAACAGGGGGATTTCATGGATACCAGGAATGAACATAAGTTATGGAATATAAACGACAACGGATTCATCAAAAGCTTATCAGATAAAGCCATGTATTAATGAAGCATACTTTCGGATTAAATTACATCCTACAGCAGGTGAGAAAGGCGACCATCTCATGAGGAAATTTTATTATGTGTCCGATAGCCCGAATTCTCATGCAGATAGAAGGCGTTATTAGAATGTATTGGTTGACAATAAAAAAATACTAGGCCTGTTCACTCCTCAGGCATCAAAAGTTTCTTAAGGAAGCCGTTACAGAGAAAGGAAAAGTGTTCAAATCAAGCGTGAACAAGTCTCGTAATCCTTCTTTGACCTTCAAACTGAAACAGTGCCTATACCGCTGTCCCTATAACTATTAAAAATTAGTATGCAAATAGGCCAGTTTATTTTAAGCAAACAGTGAAAACTCCTTAACTCGAACTTTTAAGGACAGGGCAAATCGTTTGGAGTTATCCGAAGTTCGAGTTATCAGGAATCGCCCCCCTCCCCCCAAAAAAAACAACTCAAAGCACATAGGGGAGAGAATGGCTCGGAGTGAGAGTGATAGATTGGCAGAGCGAATGTTGGAGGCTTTTTTATTGTCGGAGCTTAAGCTGAAGCTTTCGGTTTTAATCCTCAGGTTCTATCCTCTCCACAGGTTTGTGTGGTAAGAGGGGGAACAAGCAAAAGAAACGAAAGAGCATCCTGCCTTAATGGTTTCTTGTCATTCATTCTATTTAAAAATCAAAAGTCCCACCAGTGGAATTTTCCCTCTCTTCTCACCCTGAATTCGAGTTAACACGTGAGAAAATCGTTATAGAGAGCGAAAATTTCATTCGAGATATCCGGAAATTCAAGATAAGCGAATTCGAGTTAACATGGTGTTCTACGGGGCTTCGCGGCGACAATCATAGAACTTCAAGATAAGCGGAATTTCTACTTAGGATTCGAGTTAACGAGTTTTCACAATATTTATGTAAAAAAGCTACTACTCAATATTAAGAAAGAAGGTTCGGTGGAGCACTAACCCAATCACATTCTTTTGGATGTTTTTTTCTATAGACAAATAGTTTATTTTGGCACTAAATGTGTTAGGTCTCATGTCGTCATAGGGGGATTTGGAGGGAAAATGTGCCGCCCCTCCCAAATTCCTTTAGAAGAGTTAAGGAGATGCAAATGGAACAAAGCTTGCCAATATTTTGCCCATGGCGAAATCATCTTTGTTTCTCAATCCGCAACTTCACATGTTTTCATTAACTCTCATTAGAGCTTCCAAGTCATAAGAAAAAAGAAACTTTAAGTCTGAAATTTATTGAAATTACTCACCAAAATAACACTTAGGCAGCATTGCTGGGTTCAGAATTGCTTCACCTGGTGGCGTTTTCATTTTCTTCTGCTGCTGTTGAGTGCTCTCTGCCAGCCAAGACCTTTTCCATGCACCTCTCGTGTGGTCTTCTGTGGATTGCAGTTCTGATCCCGATTCAGAAGACGTAGAATGCCGTGATAGGCCTGGGTTTGTAATGGCGTTGATCCTGTTGTTGAGAATGAAATCAAATTTGTTAAAATAAAATCATATTCATGGCGGCAGCACATACTTTCATGAGAATCAGGTAAATTATATGGAAATAAATACAAACTGGCTTCCATCTCCTTGGCGTTGGCCCGATTCACATTCATTTCCATCTCTAACATTCGAAATCATTAAGGTGCTCCCATGCACCAAACGCGAAATTGTCCTTTCCTTCATATACTCTCCAATGATGAGCTTGGTCATATTGGTCTTCGTACAGATCCGAGCGACAAGGAATGCCATGATGAACATCCTGCCGTCAAACTCCAACTAAACAGAAATGGCCGAAATTCATTGTTCCAAGACCATGGAAACCCAAATTTTCCCTGAAGGGCATATAATTAGACTGAGCGGATTTCAATTTCCAAATCCACGACAGTATAGAAACTACACATTCTCATATCTAATTCATAAAACTCCTAGAGCAAGAAGCGAGGGGGGGAGGCTATTTCCCGCAAATTATTTTTCCGAGTTTGTGGGACTGAATAAAAAAATATGAAAGATATATATTAATATTTTTTCAAATACTTTTTTCAAATTAATATGGCGTGCAAATAACAAAAATAGTGACAGTCAATGTGTTTACTTCGAGACTCCTGAGGGGTGCAATGGACTCAACCTCGATGTTACTCAGATTCTTGTGGGGTTTCGCAGCCTTGATGCCCGGGTATTCTTCGTTGTCCCCTTTGATCTTCAAGGGGTGCCGTCCGTCATTCTTGTTATCGCTCGCCATGACGATGATACTCTTGTGTCTGGTTGTGAAGTGCATCCTCTTATTGGTGAAATTAAAAACTGCACATCCTGTGCAGAAAAATTAATTCATATATTATTTCCAGTGCATTCTACAAAGTGCCTGAATTGATTCCCTGAGTTTTCCTTCTATCTCCCTTAGAACACAAGGTACCAGTGCAGTTGGAACCACCCCCCTCCCTCCCACGGTGTGAACTGGAACGACCTGGAAGACTCAGTCCGAATCCTTCATTCTGCTCCAAAGAATTTCTCAAACTTCGTGGAAATATCATCATTCACAGTAGCTCCAAACACTATGAGAAACACTCCACCTATTTGGGTAAGCCATGAAAGTACTGTATATCTTTGAAACAATGTCATTTGAATTTTAGAAATTGGTACAAAATTGCGGGGAAATCAATTATTAAGAAAATTGTTCTTGGCAAGATTCACATCCACAGCCTGAGGACGGGTTCAGTGGTGATTTTCTTAAAACTTGGGAGGCGGTGGATCATCCCAAGATACAGATCAATCAGCATGCGACTTCTCAGAAAAAAGTCCGACCTGGTGACCCTTTGTACGGCTCTGTCGAGTCTCCTGCCAAACTGTGACAGGCTTTAAGAAAATATGGCAGATACAGCAGATAGGAGGAAAAAAAGCGTTAGAGGAGTTAAAACTCATGCCCGGAAGATGCTCGTGCTATTTGGATCAACATATATATGCGAGCAGACAGTTTCTGTGATGAAATTCAATAAATCAAAACATAGATCTTGCCTACACCAAGCTTTAATCTTATTCCTGGAAAATGTGAAAGGTGGTGAACATCGTGCATCACATCTCATCTGAACTTGCAATTTGCTGAAGACATATGGAACATTTTGAACATGTTTCAAGATATTGCAGTGTGACACATCTACATTTTTTGTTCATTTTTCTGCATCATAGAGTATAATACCTTTCATTGAGCTTGAGTTTGTAGTGAAAATCCTGTTTCCAGAATGAAATGCTTTAATAAGCCTCGGTATTGAGTACTTGATGATTCTAATTGAAGTTCGGTGCTCCTCACTTTTCCAGTAGTTACTTTTCCTTTCAGGTTTGCCAAATTGTTGATTTGAAGAATTCATTTTGTTTGTATGATCTCGGACAATAAAATTTTATATATGTGCTCTTAAAAGATTATACCAGTATTTGTCTGAACTCCAACAAATGGACTAGGAAGGACTTTGCCTATGAAATGGATCCATCATTCTGGAACAGTCTTACCGATGAAGAAAGGAAGAGAGAAATCTCCAACATTCAAATATCAACCAAAGGGAAAGCCTGCCATTTGGCACCCATTACCTTTGGTCTGGAGCATGCGCACTGCTATGACCTTGACCGAAGGTAATACCTACCAATTGGCACCAATTCCTTTCGGTCTGGAGCAGCGCGCACTGCCATTCTCCATATCGAAAGATATATATTAAAAATGGCACAGATTCCCAGTGGTCTATTGGATACTCCTCCCTATTATAAGAACTGGTTGGAATTTGGGTTAACTGGAAAAAAAACTTTCAAGGTGGTTGCCCCCAAGCACATTGACACTGCCATTCTTAAATAGTATCTATGGAATTGATGAGTAATGTTCTTCTTTTCCAAGAGGCCATTACTATAGAAAGCATGGATATGGTTTCCATGACAATTCACATGGACCAAATCATGTATTTGGTAGGAAGGTAAGACAAAAGCTTGAGTCAGCCTAATAAGAATCAAACAGGTATTGAAATATTAAAACCTTAATTGAAATTGATTCACCACGAATCCCAGCTTCCCACATAAGGTGTTGATCAATTTCTGTAACAAGATCTAACTTGACACGACTGGTATTTAGTGCTACTGCCATGCTCAACGAGGGTAGTGATACGAACATGCATGCTTCGAGACCGAAGTCCTGCATCGTTTATTGACAAAATCGCTCAAAGACGGTCGCGAGTAGGATCGTGTTGACGTGACAATACAACTGAGCGTAATCTCCAATGGTTTTGCAAGAGAAAGTCTCCCATACGTGTATTGCATGCTGATATTGTGTCTCCGAAATGGTCTCCCCTGTCAGCTAGGAAAAAAAGATTCTCTGGGAGGTAGTCCCATCTTAGGCATGACTTTCATGTCTGTGATGTACTCATTTGGGAAATACCCTATCCTCTGGAGCAATGTCATTTGCTCCTGAGTTGTGAGAGTGAATGATTCCTTTAAAATCGACAGGTCCATACCGGAACCGAGAGAACTAACCAGACCCTCTAACGAGCAGCTGAGACATTGATACGAGTCGGGAAACGTGACTACATTCAATTTCACTACTAGAAATGTTTCTTCCGTACGAGGTAACACCTGAATACCCTTCGCTAATCCATGCCTCCCATCTGCAATTCCCTTCAATATGAGCTTCAGATCGTTCTTTCCACCGTTGTGGATACTGACACGGAATGATTCTTTGGCATTTGTGAATTCAAGATTGGAGGTGGGATGCGTGGCTCCTCTGATATCACCCGTCATATGACGGTGATCGATGTGCTTTTCCTCTCTGGTCACAAAAAGAATGACTTAGAAATTACACAATCTGATTTTAAAGGAATTGCTTCTCTTTCCTGCTCCGTAACGACAAGAGGTTTCTCCTATTCCATAACGTATTATTTCGCTGCATCCCTCATTTCAAAAATTGTACTGAGAAAGAGCGAGACACAATCCTCATCAATATGGAACACCTCGTTCCAAACATGTTCATAAGAATCTATCGCTACCAAATAATAGCAAAAGGGTAGATGTTTTTGCACTCTACCTGAATTTCCCACCTCATCGCATCTCGAGAGAATGCATTCGAAATCCACATAAGCAACCATGGGCAATCGGAGGCATTTTTTAAAGGTATTAAATTCCGATATGGACTTGTCTGGTTTCGCCATGCGAACTGCCGCAGCTGCGTGCGTCAAACACAGGCGCCTATGCTTGTTGCATGAGTTCTTAGAAGANCATGCGAACTGCCGCAGCTGCGTGCGTCAAACACAGGCGCCTATGCTTGTTGCATGAGTTCTTAGAAGAAAGTCCTGCTAGGCATCATTCGCAGTAGTGCTCACACCATTTCTTCCGAAAGTGATTCATGAAATTCTCTCAAGTTCTTTATCAGAACACAGGCACCTTCTTGAAGCAGCAATAAAAACATCTGTGGCATGCTCTCAGGCATAGTTGAGGTATACATGATGCACACCATACGCTTCGTTTCTCAGAGTGGGGTACTTGCGCGGGTGAAACGGGAAAAGTGAGTCCCTGGACATCGTATTCGGGAAAATCCTTTTTAAAAACTTTACCGTTTCCAAAATTTCCGTCTTTGATGATCAAACATTGCAATGCAATGAAGAAAGCACTGATCATCATCGTTATGTGGATTGATGAGGGATTGCATGGACTTGAGCGCATCAGGAAGTTGTACGAATTTGCTGCCTCGGATCGGATCGAAACGTGTCACTTCTACGATGAATTATTTGACGCTATCATAGATCCAACCGCTCCCGCGATTCTCAGCCTCATCTAACCACCTTGTGGGATCCTGAGCGATTTTATTCACTCTCTCCTGTAGATTGTCATGCCCACCCATAATTCCGATCGGGCCGGTACGGATGTGCATCGTCATCGTTTGCCGACCTCCTAAGGTCAGGCGGTGACAACGTATGGACAATAATAATTGCATTTTGATGGCTTGCTTATCCCACTGCTGAAAGCATTTTGAAAGAAAGTCGAGAAGAAGATCGTTCGAGTCGAGAATAAATTCATCGGGATCTGCATCCTTAATATCCGCCTGAACATCTAAAGCGTAATTTTCCGCACTACGATTCGCCGCTCTTTCCTCAAGGGTGAAACGTCCGATGCGTTGTTGAACATCTAAACCTCCGCTAACCTGGTTTGCTGGGTGCAGTCTAGGTGGAAGGTGAACATCACGGATGTGTTGATTCAGATTGAAGTAATGACGGAATGGTCCACGGTTGCAATGAGGACAATATTCAACTCGGTTCTGAAATATTGGGAAAAGATGTGACTAATTTTTCCTCCTCTTTCTCTTTAATGCGGAACAGAGATAAAGCGTCTTACCGTTTCATGAAGAGGAATTTCGTCACGATAGATTAACTTTTTGCCGTTGATTTGCTCTACAAAACTCGTGAATGTTTTAGGAGAGGTGAGTCGTCTCTTGACAGGTAGCGATTCATCGCTGTTCTGCTCTCCCTTATTTTGCATATGGAAATCACGACATCCGACTGGACTCGTTGACGTCACATTCGATAGCTGGAACATATGTAGGGACTAGTTGAATTTTTTACAGACAAGGCAAAAATAAACCAATACGGTAACGACAGCATCGCGTACCTGGACGTTCTCGCATCGTCTACCTTCGAATGAATTGTCAGGATGAGCTGTCGGGGTCCCTGTGTAGTGGATACCATGCACGGCAACCTCGAAAGGAACTCCTTGATTGTGCAGCGTCACATCTAACGCTGCGGGTGCACGGAGTAGACAAACTGGAGTGATTTTGTTGGTTGCATTTTCGAGAGAAGCGTTTTCCACAATGTGGACATAGATACACAGGACGCTCTTATTACAATACCATCATCCTCATCATAATCACTATCGTAATCATATCCAATATGAACTAATACATAATGATAGAATAAGATGTCAACCTATGTCGTACCTGTTTGATGTGTGTGGGTCGATGTCGGTCTCGATCTCCTTTCATGCTAAATCGCCGCCCACACTCAGCACATGGCCATTGCTTGGTAACCATTATTTGCATGCACAGTCGCGCGAAGGGAAGAGAGGGAGTGAGAGGGGGGAAAAACAGGAGAGATGAGGGCGTCTGGTCTCCCTTTTATTCTCTCATGCCACCAGTTCTTTCTGACTTTCCTCCCTCACGAACACACGTGTTAAATTACTTATTTCAAGGGAATGGTCTCTGCTAGCGCTTGTTTGCTTGCTCTATGCCACGAATCCGTGCTGCTCATCTACACAGTGATTAAGATCATGTCTTCCCTGAAAAACGTTTTTCCTTCAACTACTTTCTAATGATCTTTCCCGAATACTTAACTACTAAAACCACGTCGTCAATAGAGCTTTCCACCACTTTGCAGGACTTCGAACCAGATACAGTGTGTGAAATGTCTCTTGGCTTCAGAAACTTCGGGAAAGTTTATTTTGCGATATAATTCTGCGATCAGTGAAAGAGGTGTTTTCGAGGTTTCGACGGGACTGAAGCTTCCTGCAAGGGCGAAAATGACATAAAGTGTGCAGGATGTTTGCAGAGAACGGCAGGACGATACATACACGTGGGTTATGGGTGTCAGTACGATAACCAGCCTCATGGCGATTCATTTTCCCGTTTCAGTGAAAGGAAATGGACTTTCAAGAGATGTGCTTTATTAACAAGAGTAACCATGAAACAGTGTGTCGCATCTAATATATATAGACGATCGTGACTGACTGACTTACTGACTGACTGACGTTAATTCTAACCATGTTCCAGAAAGGTTAGAAATCTGAACTTTGATACACATGTACCTTTTGGGTTGCAGAGTTCAGGAGAAATCCGACTTTGAAGGTACATGCCCTGGGGTACACATTTTGGGGGGAGGCCTTTTTAAAATATATATCGTCAAGCATAAGGATGTCTTTGAGAGATACTTTCACACGTCATCGTTTCGGTGGTGTAGTGGTACACAACCGGTTATCGTGGTGCCTAGGTTCAAGGTACTCAACGCCCAAATGTCCTGTGTCCAAATGGCATGGGTAGAAATGCCATCGTCCCAAAATCTAAGGCAGTTTCCAACGAGCTGATGAAATGCCTGAGCAGTCTTCATGCGAGATAATGTTCCATTCCACAATGCCAACCGAGTGAACCGTATTCTCTGGGCTACTTCGAACACTGAGGGATCGACCAATACCTTCAAACAATTTGACAC